TTGCCCAAAAAACTATCCAGTAGTTTTTGTCATGCCCTAGCCTATCTACCATAGGAATATGAGCAAAATAAAATTTTCGACCCTTGCCGCGAAATTAAGAATTTGTCTCATTTTTACAGGCAGGCACTCTTAACATCTTTTAATGGCTCCAACATGGTTTAATCTACTCCAATCGATATAGCAATTCTTAAACTTGCAACACAAATAATTATCCAATGAAGTCTTAACTAAATTCTGCACTCCAAGCAAATGTTGCAGGGGGAAAGCATAATTTGATGGCTGTTATTCATAATGGGGGATGGGTTTACTAGGCCCCATTTATGTAATCTTGGGTATCCGAGACAACCCTCCCCCAACTTACCCTGGCTGAGGTGACCTTTCACTTATTTCTTTGCAAAATTCAACCAACTGTTTACATGAGGATTGGAAACCTTTCTTGGGAGGCACGACAACTCGGGTGGGTGAGTTGTCTTGCCTTAGCAGGTAGGGTAACCCTGGCAAGTGGGACAACTTTTATTCATATAAACACTTTGGCTTGTCTAACCGGGACAACTCTCGGCATGGCGAGTGTCACGTAATACCTAGGTTCAGAATTTTAAAGCAGAAATTCGTATCAAAGAAGTAAAAATTAACTCAGCAAAACCCACCTTGATTGAATGACCAAGGGGAACTCAAAGGAAGAGGGATATTTGCACATTTGATTATTCAATAAGGGCTGTGAATAATCATGCAGCGTCAACTTTGACTCAGCCTACAGAGTCAATGTTTTCACAGATAAATGTTCGATAAAGTTGCCTTGGGGACAGGGTTGTCTTGGCTACCTAAGACTACATAAATGGGGCTGTATAACAAAGGTATTCCAGTAGCTAGGCTGCATTTAATTAAAAGGAGTGCTAATTGAAAAATACACATCAAAGAATAATTATGTAGTAATTCATCATAATGGTGTTTACATATGCTAATAAAGATATGACACTGTAACCAACTACTGAACACACAATCAAAATTTTGTACCATAAATCATGTAACATGCATATGTTGGGCAAAGCCTTGATATATTTAACAATAATTATTCACTGAAGGCAAAGTGAAGGTATCCGGTCGTTTCGCCAACGAGTCGTTTCACCAACGTCTCGTTCGCCAACGTCCTAAGTCGCTTCGCCAACGTCCTACTAGTCAATTCGCCAACGTCTAAATAAAAGTTTAAAGTTTACCTTCACTTGTGTCTGTTGTCATTTATTTAATTCCCTTACCTAGAGTTATTTTCCATGCAAGAGCTTGTAAGTATTTGATACTATATACTGTAATAAAATTGCTGTTATTTACTTGACATTCCATTTTATTTCTAACTCGATTATAAGGCTGGAAAATGAAAACAAACTCTGTNGCATTCCAAACATCAATAAGCAGCTTTTTTTTCCGTTAGTATTGGATATATGACATTGGCGAATTGACCGGTAGGACGTTGGCGAAACGACTTAGGACGTTCTTCGGTTGGCGAATCGACCTAAGACGTTGGCGAATGAGTCGTTGGCGAAACAACAGCAATTCAAAGTGAACATTGGTGAATATCTATCCAAGTCAAAATTGAGTTATTGTTGGTTTTGCACAGACTTATTTTCAGATAGAAACTATGGGCAACTCTGAAATAGCCTATTATATATATTCCAACCTGCATACATAGGAGTTAATGTGTATTGTAAATTTATTCCATAAAGTATAAGGTCACTGAAATGAAATAACCTTAAAAAGCCATGGAGTATTTAATTTTACTTACAGAATAAAGTAAGAGCACAGAAACAAACTGCACAATGCTATAAAGAGCCATGTACTTGAATATTCCAAATGAAGTTACCAAAGCCGCTCTGCCTTCTCTATGAGACAAAGATGGAAAATCCAGTTACATCATTTATGTTGAACACAGTTACATAGTATTGGTGGTCTAATCCTGAGGAAATTCAAATGACAAAGGCCTGGCAGCCATGTTGGATGACGTAAGTGAAAAAGTTAGTTAGAAATCTCTTGTTAATGTCATCCAATATGGTGAAGACGACATCATGTGAAAACCGATATTACAAAATGCTTGGTAGTTAAGTAATAATACACAAGGATGTTCAGGATTTAATGTAGGCCTAAAATTAACATCAACTTTAAATTTAGTCTAAAGCTATTAAAAACAGTATTAAAAGGGTTTCAACAAAACGGTGATTCCCGGTCAGCTGACCCCCTACTGACCCCCTATAAAATCAAAGGAAAAAAACTATCAGAACTATCAATGGGACCAATTCAAGTTCACAAATAAATTGAGCTCACTTCCAAGATAGCAGATGCATTGCAGATTTCCAACTCTTCCCCTTTGTTTGGAAGTGCAGGTTTTGTTTACCAAAAATCAAGTACAGAATAAGTTGGAATATCACCAACAATGGTATTTGCATCCATTAGAAAGTTAGGCAATGAAAGTAACAAAGAAACTTTGGCAAAAAAACACAAGTGATTGACCATGGGGCGTGGGCTACACAAACACATGATACATAAACATCAACCATAGGTCGATTTTTGCATTGTTGTTCTGGTCTCTTGCCAATTTTCCCCAAGCCAGTATTCGGATATTCGGATAACTTCCTTCTTGATACACAAGGTCATCAAAAAGACCACCAATTCTCAAGTGACTCAACCTCATTTAATCAACACTATCTTAAAACCAAGTGTAAATAATGGACTTGTAATAATAACACAGCCATCTACAACTATAAACAAACAACAAGGCACTGACCTTCTTTAAAAAGGAGCCTACAGTATATTCCTAATGTTTAAAAAGATAGCTGTTATTACAGTTGAGACTGTGGTCCAACATTCTTTTGTTTAAAAAGGCATACAAACGAGGTGAACGGGTCAATACAAAGCAGAATTGACCCTTTCGCCTCATTTGTATGTCAAACCGCTGAAAACTGTAATAACAGCTATTCATCAGTCATTATTTCTCTTGATTCTACAGAGGGTGGTGACAGTTTTCATTGGGTATTTGTAAAGGGTTGGTTATTAACTAATTTAAATGCAATCTTTTTTGTTGTAAAACTTCATCCTTAAATCACTTGTGTGACCTCCGGTCAGATGTATAGTTTGCCTGTCGCCTGCAAACATGTTCCTTTGCCAGCATTTCTTTGTTACTTTAATTGCTTAATTACCATACTTGATGATATTTCAACTTATTCTGTACTTGATTTTCTGCAAACAAACCTCCACTTACAATTAAAGGAAAAGAGAGTCAGAAATCTGCAAGGCATCTGCCATCTAACAAATTTCAGATAAGCTCAATTTGATAAACTTGGACCAGTCCCCTTGATAGTTTTGGGCTCTTTTAAATTTTCTTTTTCCCACCGATTTTACAGGGCGCTGGGGGGTCAGTAAGGAGATGAGTCTTTTGTTGAAACCTGTTTTAAGACAAAAATAAAAGTATTCCATTCCAAATGTGAGCCATACCAATAATAACTGCTACCGGTAGTTGGGAAATTCAGTAGACTAACAGAGCACACAATCAAAACCTAGACAAGTTAGCACATTACTCTGCACCTTTGTTATCTTCAATTAAACTTTTAAACTTTCACTTGAACAAGTGACATTTTAACCCAATGCATTACGTCCTCTTAAATTACGCTAAATCTGGCTCAACATACAAGAATTAGCCTTTCACTTGGTAAAATGATAATTGATGTTTTGAAAAAGGCTGGGCACTTCAAACTTAACATGTCACCTTGACAAGAAACCCCTCACTTTGGTAAGTAGGAATGAAAAGCAATTGAGTGCCATTACAAAATTCAAATATGAAACAGTTCACTCCTTACTGCCTAACCTGTTGCAGACATTCAGTAAGTTAGGGAGTAGTGCAAAAAAAGTCAGAAAATACAGGCCAGGGATTAGGAGAAAGGAGATTTCTGTACCACACTCCTCCCTTTTGTTCATAAATTGTTTAATCAACACGGTGACCAGTGAAAGCACATGGTCCCAACATGCACTGGATACAAGAAACACAAACAAGGACTTATATGGGCAAAACCCTTCACCTACTTATATGCGCACAACCCTTCCCAGTACAATCAAGTGAACTGATTAACACATATAATGTTTGGACCTGTGAATATATGTGCCCTCCCCCTTTACTTTGGTACAGGCCTCATTGACCTGGTTGAATCTAACACTTGTCTTAAAGAGTTAAAATCGATAATAGACTTTTAGGGTTAGTACATATTGACTCCGTAAAGAAGCACTTCACCCAAAAGGTTGGTCAGCATTAAAGAGTGAATAAAAACAGTATCATGATCAGGCTCATAACATGTAATTACTGATAGTCTAAGTAAATGTATCTCTAGTAGTTTAAATGGTTAAAACGAATTCAATCTCAATACCAAAGCACCACTAACATACACTCTGTGCTAAGTGGTGACTTGGATATAACTACCCATCAATTCCACAACAAAGTGACAATTTAATCAAATTTTAATACACTCACCTTATTATAGTAGGCACACATTCAATATTTGGAATCTAAATAAACAAGCAACATCTTACTGATCGAGTTACAGCTAGTGAGAAAAAAATCAAATTGGGAGGAACAGCAATTGTAAAAATTTCATTTGTAACAATCGCTAATATTGCCAAAGTGTGTATGTCTTATGGACAAAGCATTAGGTGGGTCCCTGCCATTATAATAAAATTAAAGCTTAAGGAATGACACGGTAAAGTTTACCTCAACAGTTATTGTGCACCTCAACATACACTTATACCAAATAATTGACTTTGAAAAATATTTTGGGCTGCAAAGTTGTTTTTCTGTCTCAGTAGCAGCACTTCTTTTTGACATGGAGCAAGTGCACCTGCTGCCTTTGTGGTATGCAGTAATGACAGTCTTGTAATTTGAACCACTTGTGCTTATCTCCTTACTTGATGTTGCAAAGTGAATATAGCTAAAATAACATTTAAAGTGACAACCAAACCTTCGAAGTAAATGGCGAGGCAACAGAAGCTTCAGCTTGCGATAGTGAAATCCCTGCATGTGCCACCTTGAGAGCCTATAACACACAGGATTATGTCAACCATCAATAAAACATTTCTGCCTTTAGAAAAGTGTCATAAGAGGCCTATTGGTTATTTTCTACCACCTGTGAGTGAAGTCATGTGCAACAGTACGGCTCTGATTTGCAGTAATACTTTGAATAACTGATCAATCAGGTCGTCAGTAATACCCACTTCCCACATAATCAAGACGTGACATACACATAATTAACAAGAATTATTTACTCTCTCAAACCAAATATTGCATTTTATTGTGGAAAAAAGAAGGGCATATTTTGGAAACAGAGTGCTTGTTCTTTTCTGAAAGAAGCAACACGAGAATTACATGAAACAGATGGGATATCTCTCATTTGAGAGAATTGTGTCCTGACATGAAATTACAGACACCTAGAAGAGTAGCTCTCTTTTGTGAGCAGTTTCGAAGGAATATGAGCCATGAAAGAGGAGTATAATCCATGGGTAAGCTTTATGTGGTCTGGTGGCACTGTAATTATAACATAGTATATAGACACTTATTGGCCTAGGAAGTATTCTGTAACAGGAGTGCTCATTAGTGCAGAGACAACACAACTGAAGGAAGCACTTCCTACAAAGAGGAAACTTGTTTGGAAAAATGTACTGAATGGAAGTGTGGTTCGATTTTACCCTTGGTACAATTTTTGTATTTTCCATTGTTCTGGAATATGGTCAATATGGTAATATATTATAATGCATACAATACCAAAAATACCAAATTGTGGGAAGAGTGATATTAAGAGGTAGCCTTTAGTTCATGAACATAAATTGTTTCTCAGGAAAGCTGGAAAGAAAAGAATATCCTTGTGATAAGAATTTGTTTTGCAGAAAAAAGATTACACTGGAGTTTGGAAAATGCAAAAAAGAACATTGCATGGAAATATCCCAGGACGTTGTGCAGATGCCCTTAGCTGAGAAAGGGGTCCTACTCTGCCTCCTAAACAGAACTGAATTTGTAAGAAAACTATGCAACTCTTTTGTTTAACACAAAAAACTAATTGCAAGCTCCAACAAGATCATTACAACTACTTTGAGCATCGGAATAACAGGTTAGAAGATTTGTTACACCCAGAGTAAAATTCAAATTTTATGTTTTTCTTTTTTTGCTGATATCAATTTTTGAAACCTAGCTTGAATAGAGTATGTCTAATGGTTTATGTGAACAGAGAGCATAGTAGATGTCATGAAGTTTTATGACTTCTTCTTCTGCTCTCTGCCAATAAAATCACACAATCCATTCCATGCCATGAAATTGAATATGGCTTCACCTGAAGAAAATCAAAGATTAAAAGATAATACCAGAAGGCAATAATTCAAGACATACCAATTCAACTGGTCAAGCCATTAAAATACCACTTTGAGGAAAATGTTCGAATTCATACTAGCAACAGATCATCCTTCCGGAATAAACTTGCAAATTGGGTAAAGAGGCGTAGTTTGTCTAATCATCCATCTTTTTGTTCATGCTACTAAGAAGCTCCAACAACCATGTGCACTCTCCTCATGAAAAATTGAAGGGGAGGTGTCTGTGTTTTACCACTGATAAAAGTGTTTGGACATTTACACTTAGCTCGCAATAATGGTGATCAGTTGACCCCTGAGTTTGAATGGGCCTCTTGGACCACAAAATGTTAATTAGCAAGAATTTGGGACATCAGACTGCCAATGTAAACAGAATATTATTTCTTGATAAAAAGAACTTAAGGCATCTGTAAATGCCAATAAATACTAACACATGCAAAATATGATGGCATCTAACTAACTGTTAGCCTGTATACATGTACAGCTGCCTGTTCTCCTCAAGAAAAATTGAAGGGGGAGTGTGTTTTACTGTCGATAATCATGTTTGGATTCCTTAGGAAGATGATCAAAACAGGCATTTCAGTTGATCTTACAAATTACAAAGGAACCCACAAGACCCATTTTCTTGGAATGGAGACTTTTGAAATGAAGATGACCGTTTTCTTGTCCATGTATATGTTGTTTCTTTTCAAATTGAACAGGTATATGGCCTTGTTTTAGCATGCAATTTCCGTTAGCTTTTTTTAAGTTAAACTAAAGAGTTGAAACGTTTTCATACAAATGCAGTTTAGTTTAAGAGAGAAATAAACGTGGCAGAGTATTACCCTTTTTTAATATGCACTTGATGATAGGAGAGCTGAAAGACAGTGAAATGTTTTTATTTAACCCATTGACTCCTGAAGCTTTTTGCCAAAAACACATTTTTTGAACACTTTGGAGATTTTCAGCCTGGATATGAGACAAATTAGCTCCAATCTTCTCAGAAAGGCATTTGCAACATGACAGCATGCCTTTCTTTCCACCAGGATTGTGTTTTAGACATTTTTGCTTGGGTATGCCCAGAAATCAAAATTTTGATATTTTAAATTTTTTTTTTCATCTTTCCTTTGTTTCTTTTGATCTTTTTGCTGCAGTGATTGACCCTCCAATGGGCTTGCTTCCATTTCAAACATTTCTGAGAGAGCATCATCAAGACGGGCAATTTTTACCATGGAGTAGCTACAGTGTAAGTGTAGTTGCAGGAAATTTTGCTGCAAGTTTTTCACTCAAATTTCTGAGCACTTTCGTGCATTTTTCAGGCTCCACTGAGCCGATCATACTGATCTGGGTCTCATTGGAAAGATATCTTAATTTCCTCCTGCAGAACTTGAGTATAGATGAAGCCAATTTGGTCAAAGGTGAC